AAATTAATGGCTTATCGCGTAATAGCGTAATATATCAAATAGCGATTAATGGTTTTTTGTTAAAAACAGATTAAAGACCAACTGCGTTACTATGATGCATAGAGAATTGCTCGAATCGGAATGAGATACAAGCAACAACAAATACCACGGAAATCCACATATATATTAGAGGACGCCTGCTTTGAAATTATTATGCTCAAGAAGTGAACATTGCTTGAGAAATGTAATTTATTACTCTGATTCTCCACTGCACTGCTGACAATTTTTCCAGTTGCTTTGACCAACGTTGCATCGTTTGTTGGTGGTCAGCATGTTGGCGATCCTGACGTTCGTTTCGTCTTAGCTTTGGGTCTTACCAAAGCAAGAAATGGAATGAATTAAACCAAAATATGTAAAGTAAATGTGAACTTTTTTATGGCGAAAGAAAATTGTAATAGAAATGCGGAATAAATGTGAACTTTTATTTAACGAGCATTCATTCTGTTTTAGTGTATTGTGATTTTTATGCCAAATGCAGAAACGCATATTGTGACGATCCATGGTGTGTGCGCGTGTGTGCGTCCGTTCGGGGTATTTCAACTCAGGGCCAAGCAAGCTTCGACGCTGAAATTTTGCCAGTGAATTTTCTGACTAAGCAGAAATCGCAGGAATACTTCAAATTAATTGCGAGAGGCAAATGGGCATAAAAAGGAATATTTTGAAATTCGGGGATGATCGACACATTCGTTTTCATTTTTTTCTCAGATCCACTGAAATGCTTTGGAAAAAATTTATATATATTTGTTGCGGTTTGAAATTCAAATAACATTTCCTAATTTCATCGGAAAGGTTGGGGTGGATATTTTAACCGCGTGGCACCGTACTGTTAGAATTGCTTTCATGATTCCACTATTAGATTTGAAAGAAAGATTCTACTGAAATTGGAAAGTTGCGGAAGTCTAATGACCGTAATCGGGTTGCGCCTTTTGGATGAATGATTTCACTACGTGGTTTTATGGTAGATTTATCCAAGGAAGAATTTAGCTGTTGGCTACCACTACGAGTTCTTCGAAGAACAGCTTTGCTTCAGCGCACCCGACAGAAATCTCCTGGATGTGTAATGGGGTGTAAAGGGGCAAGCAATGCATGAAGAAATTGCCATTTCTCAACCTGGATTATTCTGGATTATGTGCATCCCCATGAACCAGAAAAAAAAGCTTCGAAACATGTTTCACTGCAAGGTCTTCCTCTTCCCTCCCTTTCGCACATCCACCCTCCGCCTTTCCCCTTTGCCTCCGGTCCTCAGGATATTGTTATGGAATATTGGCACCTGTTATTGTTATCCCACCCCTTTTATTGTTACTTACTAATGCTATTTTCGACATATTAATTGGCAGCATTTTCAAATTTCTAATTTTCGTTTGCTACCTGGGTAAAATTAGGGCTGTGGGCGAAAAGTCAGTAAAAGAGGTGAGGAATAACGAAACGGAGAAGAGTAATTACTAGAATACTTTTGAAAAATTGCTGA